CCCCCCCCCGCCTCCGGCCTCCGGGTCAGAATGCAGATACCATGGCTTCTCTTTGTCTCTGAGAGAAGCGCTCACCCAGGAAGGCAGGTGCCCGCTCAGCGAGGCACCTTCTGCGGAGGGGGCCGAGCTGCCCGGGGAGCCCGTGGCTGAGAACATTTGTCTAGAAGGAATCCGTGCAGAGCTGCATAAACAGAGTTCCCGAGGGATGTGAATTGTGCAAGAGACCGAGAGACTAAGAGTAGTCGTCAGCCGAGGGAACAGCCAAGAGTGAGGGAGAGGACTCGGGGCAGCCATGTCCCTTAACCCTCAAGATTTCTGTTTCCAGTTTGACATTTGCTTCCCCCCCCCCGCCCCCCCGTGCTGCCTTCATTTTGGAATGATTGTGTTGCTGTTCTTCTTTCTTCAAGAGGTTGGCAGATAGCAATCTATACCCCAGAAAGGAAGATTCCCGGAGTCAGAGACCCCCTAGCACCACCCACCAAAGACGGAAGGAAATGCACATCAAAGAGATACTCTCTGACATCCACTGAGATCTGTGAACTTAGTCTGAAGTGTCAGGAGCTTCCTGTACCATCAGGCTGCTAAAGCAGAGGGTGGGGAGGGGGAGGGGCGGAGAGAGGAGGAAGGCTGCTTCAGAGAGGAGCTTAGAGGTGGAGATGGAGACAGGAAGTCGAGTGGCAAACCCCAGGATCTCCCACTCATTTGCTTCTGAACTTCTTCATTAGGAGGCAGGCTGTAAGCAGCACCAGAACACTCCTGCATCGATAAGTTAGTTAGCATAAGCCTTGGAAATGTGCCATTTGGAGTAAGATCTCTCTAAAAAGAGAATCTTGTTGTAAAAAACAAGACTGAGAGCAAGCTCCTGACAGATAAACCTTCAGCTCAAACATATGCCGGGTGCTACGTACCATTTCCAGAAAATTGCCCCCCAACTCCAGGCGACCACTGACCTGCTTCCTGTCCCCATGGATTTACTTATTCTGGGTATTTCCTCTAAATGGGAACATACGGTATGAGGCCTTTCGTGACGGCTTCCCCACTTAGCAGGTTTTCAAGAGTCATTATGTTGTGACCTGTGCGGAATTCTTTCTTTCTAGTATGTCACCGTCTGTATAGATACATTTATGGACACTCATCCATGGACACCTGGGTTGTTCCCATCTGGCTGCTGCGAACAGAGCGCTGTGAACATGGGTGCACATGGATTTGAGTCCTCCCATCCATTCTTCATACAAAAATCTGATCCAATCACATGACGCGCCAGCCGCAATCACTTCGAACTCCTGAATGTGACCCTCGACCCCTCCACTCCGGCCCCTCCCACTCGTCAGCATCATCTCACACCTGCACGCCTGCCCAACTGGCCTTTTGCTTCTTGCCTGTGCTGTGCTTTTCGTCTTCCCCTCTGAGCCTCCGCAGAGGCGGTTCCCTCTTCCAGGAACATCCTTCCCCTGGGTGAGAGGTAGTTTATCTCCCAAATCCAATTCGCTGCACTATCTCCCAGCACAGAGCCAACGCTGGCCCCTCTTATTTTACGGACAGAGAGGCACCTCAGAGCTCGCTGTGGGATGAGGAGGGCCACGCTGGCCCTGGCTGAGAAATCCGGCAGAACCTGCCCAGAGACA